AAAATGCTCCCAGTTCGCCCCTTTAACAATCTTTGTTTGACTAAGACTTTTACTTTACCCTACAAACCAGGTCAACCTTTCTCTCAATGGTCTTATCTTGGAAGGCTAGGGTCTACACTCCAAGTCGATCCCAAACAAGCCCAGTCAGCCAGGCTGATCCCGCTGACCACCCCGGCCGCTGCACCGCGTGTGTTTGACTCGAGAAGTCCTCGTCGTAATGCCGAGGTATGGGCCAGCCCGGCGAAACAATCCAAGAACGGAAGAATCCAAGAAGGAAGAATCAACGGCGGCAACTCCGCAACTTTTGCCACACTCATCCACCACGGGTGATCCTCGTTTTTGGACCCAGCCTGGGGCCCTGCATGTATTGTTGAGACACCCACCACTCGGCACAGAAAGTCTATGTCCCCACACCTCGGCTTGCTCCTCAAAGCGTCTTCGCCGCAAATCACGCCGCGCCTCGCGAGTGCCACGTTTTTCTGGGCCCTCCGAATCGTCAAGTCTTTGAGCCGAGGGAGCAGGCGGCAATCTCTCAGCACACAGTTTCAGCAGCTCTAGGTTCTCCTGAAACTAAACTCCTTGCTGCTAGCCTTTGCCCCCTTTTCATTCCTCTTTCGCCAGTCAGTCATAGGCACCAGATTGATGTAGAAGATCCGTCGCAGACCCATCGCCTCTGCGACCTGGTCCGACGGGCGGTTGGAGACCTCGTTCTGCCCAGCCCTCAAAAGAACTCTCGTTTCAGCCCCGATTCTGGAGGCCCATCCGGAAAATACCCAAGGGCCTGAGACAGCCAAGTGTTCCAGACCAGTGCTCCTGTGGAACGAGAAAAAACATCCTCTTAAGCTGGCCAATTCTGGAAGCCTGGTCTCAAACTTAAGCGCTGAGGCAACCAGCTGCAGCCCATCAGAAAGAAATGTAAGAAAAAAAACGAACGAAAACGGGGAAGGTAGGCCAACACGTAAGGTCGACACCGTAACCTGAAAGCCGTGCGCACCCCAGGCCCAGCGCGCTTCACAAACAAGAGGACGCCAGATCCGCCCTCAAGCTCCCCCACCAAAGGCGAGGGGGTTGGTGCTAAGAGAGAACTGGTATGCTTAGACACTCGTGATGCCCAGCCGAGGCCCACTCCTCTGGCCCTTGCCACAACCCTTGCCTCGACCCTTGTTTTCACGGGCCCCGCCCTTGGCCCCCCTTAGCCGGTGCTGAACCCATCCCCAGCAGCTTCGGATGTTCACCTTTCCAAGCCAAAATGCTGGGTGCTTGTGCCACGTCCCCTGCTCAAGTGGCTGTGGTGAGATCATTCTTTAGCACACCACTTTACATGTTTTTCCACCCTGCCAGTCGAAATGTGAAAGTGAACTGGTTCTGTTTGCGTTGGCGCCGACCCGAACGAGTTCCGTCCTGCCCACTCCCCATGCTGGCGAGCAGGCAGGCCACGCACAAAACAGAAGAGCCAGGGATCCGGGTGAATAAGAGCTAGGGGATCTGGTGAGCTTGGTCCTTTTGCCAATGGTACCCTATTCTCCAGCCACAGCCACCTTTGTCGAAGGCCTTGAACCGTCATCCTTGGTTGGACATCCTCACGGCCCAAAAGGGCCCTTTGGGCGCTCGGAGAACCACCCGTTTGAGTCCGGAAACTGATGATGTACTGCGAATTAAATGGTGTATATAGAGTATAGAGTCTTTCCACATCCATGACTATGTTGCCTCGAAACATACGTTCCAAAACATGCTTCTCCCACCCTGTGCGAACGGGCAGACTCCACCGTAGCCCGCCTCCCGGGAAGTCTGCATGCACCTGGACGAGGGTGGTCCTGTAACTCACCTTCGGCCTCTAAAGCCGTCGCTGGCGCCTTTCATCGGTGGGGGTCTGGGGGGAAGCTCTACATGGAATTCCAGCTGTTGGGAAGAGTTACCTTTGGTGACCGCAGCAGCTTGGAGCAACACGCCCTGTGTTTGCGGGGGCACCCTCCTGGTAGTTGAAAGGGAGGGTCTGGTTGGTGGCAAACAAGGGTCCAAAGTATCGATTGAGGGGATTCGCTTCTCTGTCTATTGAGGGGGGGCATAGTATGGCAAAAGTATGATAATATGTATCTCTTGGCGTGTCTTGGAATGGCAAATTCTTCCGCCGATGGGTGTTCCTGCGATTTTCACCCGTGGACTCCAAGGAGGGCTTCTCAAGAGAGCACCGGCCTCTGCTGGAGGCCCATGAGGCCCAGCAGCCAGCCCTGGCCAGGCGTGTTTCAGTGCAACACGCACCCGTCGCTGTTGACCCAAATCCAGCCAAGCTTGGACTGCTTGGGTCTTGATCCATCCAGCTGTTCTCCAATAAAGACCAATTTCGCGGCTAACGAGTCTTGCTTAGGAAAGAGGAGTGAAGAATATAAAGGTCAACTCCACTTGCGATGTGCAGGATTATGGAAGGAGGGCCATGACACGTGGCTGCAAGTTGTTGCATCACCGCAATCTTGAGATTGGTTTGTCAGGCCTCGGGTTTGAATACTAAAAGGGCCCAACACCCCCGGGGTAAACCTCGGGTCTGTGGTGCCTTCGGCCGTATTTCAGATGTGAGAAATGATGGGCTGGGACGCAGCAAGCTGCTAACAGCTAATCAAAGCAAAGTCCCAGAAAGTCTGGGCCCTATGTGTGAACTCGAAAAATGATGCAAAAAAGGTCATGCACCTAGGGTGGAGCACACACTCTGTGGACCCTGTGGACCAAACAATTTAACACTAGGACCTTCAGTTCGTGACCTCTTTGGAGTCTCTAAGTAGCCTCTTGAGGGACTAGGTGACTTCATTCTGGGATCTCAAAAGGTCACTGTGAAGGTCCTGGTATATATCTATATCCTTTCCTTCACACACCAGAAATAGAGGACCTCCTTGCTATTGAACTTGTTTGCTTGGGTGGAGCTGCTGCTAAGGTCGTGACCACCGCTTTGTTGGCTTTTGGTCTCAAACCACGACGACTCCACCGACTTCATATGTATATATATATATGATAGACTTACGTGTTCATGCACTTTGTTTCATTCATGTTCAACACCACATAATAGGAGACCCGAAATCAAGCATCCACACCTTAGACCATGGACTGCTCATGGGTCCGACCACACGCCCACCACGATCCCCCCGACCTCTCCTCTCCCGAGGTGTGTTTCGGCCGTTGGTTCGTCCACGAGAGAAAACAACATCCACTCCCTGAAATCACCATGGAAGTGGAAAAAGCAAAGTGGTCATCCGAAATCGCCCTGCCATCCACTTAACCATAAGTTTTTTCAGAGAGTGTAGGACCTTTTAAGAGACCCGCAAAACATCTTCGGGTTGTCCCAGGAGTGGAAAACGCAGCTCCCACGCAGGTCCCACGGCCGCGGCGCGGTCCCACGCCGGTCCCGCGGTCCCACGCCGCGCCAGGAACAGACATCTCCAGGTCCTGGCGATCCGTGGTCTTCGGGCGTTCGCGCGAGCTCGGGACCCGCACGGCTGGGGAGCTCGGGTGAACCCCCCATTTTCTTTCGGCGTCGAAGACGCACAGACATCCAATGTCCAAGAATACAACAGGAAGAAGGGGGGTCTTATTACAGTACAACAATACCTCAAAGTTTCACACCTCGCTTGGGTGAATTCTGAAACCGATTCTGCTACCTGATCCAAAGCTACTAATTTTCGCTTCTCAATTTGGGCAACCCAAGTGCAGCACCAAGAAACTACACGATACTTGGGGATGCACTTGCTTTCAGTGACATGAGCTTTGTCACATGATCTGAGCTGTTTTATGGGCTTATTGGGACCCTCGCAGCCAAATCAGTAAGCAGGTTGAGGGACCTGTTTAGCACTGCTGATGGTGTGGACTGTGTTGATCGTTGGTGCTCGGCAGATCCGACGTGGGCCCTACCAATGGTGGATGATGGGTGAGATATTTTTGGGTGGTGGATGATCCAATAAGTTAAGATGTGATCCACCGCAGTGGATGATCCAATGAGCTTTTCCTTCCTTTTCCATTTCTTCATGTTTTTTCAGCTCAAGGTGTATGCCATCCATTTGGGGATTCGACCAGACGAGACAGACTCCCAGTTTCCCAGATTCTTCCCACAATGCTGAGGGTAAGATGTTTTCAGAGTCGGGCGGTTCATCTTTTACATGATTTTTCTCACCGACACCAATCCTAAAACCCCCGCACCCCACACAAGTAAGAGCCGCAAAAGCCCTACTCTTTCTTCCTGTGTTGCAGAGTTGAACTTCTTGGTAACTTGTCAAACTTGTCTCTTATTTGCGTCGATCAGATTTCGTTGTCCGGAGTTTCTCTGCAAATCATCTCCCGTGGCGGCCGAACGTGCACGACGGCCTGCCGCCAAACGCCATCCATGGCAATGGCGGTGATCGCTTCTCTTGCTGATCGTACTTGTCAACAACTTGTTTTCAACTGCCGTGAAAAAAGAAGTTGCTGGGGGGCTCGTTGGCCTGTGGGATGGAAGCAAAACAAGTCCAGAAACCTTGCTCGTTGGCTGTTCCCTCGCTTCAGCTGCGATGTTAGGAGACTCAGGTGACAAACAGAAAGAGGCTGTGGCCCACAGTGCTTTCAGGCAGAGGAGAAGGTAGGGATACGGTCATTCTCATGTGGAGTTGACCGAGGTCGTTCTTGGCACGATCTGAAATCTGAAAATCTGTCGAATGTGCGTTTTCGCTTCACCAACTGTCCAAAATAGCTTGGCCTGAACCTCGAGCAGCCAACACAGAACAAAGAGACCCGCAGCCCCGACAACATGAGCCCGTTCCGTGCCCGGGGCCGTCACATCGAACTAATCCCTGGAGGTGAACCGAGCTTCACAGTTGCTTAGGGGGTAGCGACCGTTCGTTCACCGAGCTTCACCCGCAGGATGCGACCGGACTTGCATCTCTGGCCCCTTCGAGAGGTTCAACGAGTGCACGGCCCTCTCGGCCCCCCGAGGGAGCGACCGTTCGAGAGTCCGCATGCGAGCGGTTGAGGTGACCTTTTTCGCCTCATGCCGGTCGGAAGCGACCGTTCCGCAAGCAGTGGTTCCTCATGCCGGACGCAAGCACAGATCTGTTTGTCACCGAAATGACCCACTTGACAAGTACTTTCTATTTCTGTTGTTCTTTGCGTGAGGCTGTGAACCGGCTAGTTTAACCACTCTTCACATCTTTCACTGTCTTTCCTGCCAAACCCACCTCCATCTTCCCACATAGTGACATATGTGTGTTTGGATTCAATCACTTCCCCTTCTCCAAGATATACATGAGCTGTATCACAGAATCCACAGAAAAGGGTTGTTTCTTACAACACAGCTCAACACAAGAGACATCTCCGACCCCCGTTGTTTTGCCCTTCTGAAGCTGAGCGGACTTTGTGGAAACAACCAAACTCCACCCGGAAGAGGAACAGCCAAGCACCAGCCACTCACTCATTGTTGGAGAAACATCCCATGAAGTCACCATGAGCACCACAGAAGACATTCAGGAAAAATCCTCTTCCAATTTCAGACATGAAAAGCTTGGTGTCTTGAGTAGTCCTCACTAGGCGGACCCGCAACATCCTGATGATGAGTCTCCCTCCATCCAGTTCACCCACTGGTCTGTTGTGCCTAGTGGCCTAGCCTCACTTTGAGGCAATAGCTTCAAGGGGGTCACCAGTACAGTGGTACACCCCCACAGACCCCACACCCCTCTTAGGCCAAAGCACTCAGGTACCAGTACCTCCACCTTCCCCTTCTTCCACAAGGCCATGGCCACCAGGCGCTGCAGTTCCACCGGCAGCCGCTCGGAGACCAACGCCGCAAAGCGGTTCACGGACACGACTCCGCCCGAGCCTCCGTGCAACCAGGAGTTGGGCCCTGCGCGCTGGGAGCAGATGGTGGCCAAGCCGTGGCAGAGCCGCTTCTTCCCGCTCTCCGACAAGCCGCCCTCGGAGAAGGAGCACCTCGGCGCCCGAAAGGAACCGCCCCCGGGCGGTTCCGCCCACGGCGGCGGCGAAAAGGAGACCAGAAAAACCAGGGGGGTTGGGCGCAGAAGGACGTGGTGCGACATGGTCCCTTCTTGACGTTTCCCCAGAAAAAGTGCTTTTTGCAAAAATGATTGCAGTTCTGCTCGCCTCTGTGGTTGATCGCCCCGTCCAGCAGTCTTTGATTGCTGCGAGCCAAGTCAAACATGATATTGGCTTACAATTCAGCCACTCTTGGATGCCATTGTGAAAAATGTACGAGCAAGTCTTGACACAAAGTATCCATAAAGAATTCTTTCAACTGACTCGGGAGCACCCAATTGTACACCAGTTCGCGGTGCTGCGAGCTGCAGCGACCGAAGGAAAAACATACTGCTTGACCCAATTCGAGTCAAGCCGGATTTCAGAACATACTGCGAGCACACATCAAACACCTGGCAATAAACAGCAAGACCACTGGGCCAGGATGGCTGCAAGGTTTTAAGCTCTAAGACTGGAAGCAAAGGAAAGAAGACTAATCTTCAAGGTTTGGTGGAACCAAGAAGCGGTGTCAAGGCGCGAACACAATGCACCAGACTGAGATGTATCAAAAAGGTTCCAACTGCAAGTCGCCGTTGGTTTGAGCAAGCAATAGTTCTTGAAACAGCTAAAAATGTTGCAAGTCCTGGAGTCCTGCAACACTCCAAAGGCATATCTGACACTGTTGATGTTCTGCCCTGCGTTTGAACCGGACGGGGGTGTCAGGGTGTTGAAACTTTGCCCATGGTCGGATGGCTCCAAAAAGGTTGGTTCAACCATGTGACCGGTGTCTTACGTAAATAGAAGCGATGGCCTCCAACCTAACAAAGCGATTCCTTCGACCCATGACCACCTCGGTCTTTCCTGTGGCGAGTCAGTGCCCAGCGTCGGCCTCTGGAACGCCGGCACCAAAAATCGTTCTGTTGGGGCATGAAGACCCTCATTCACGCAAAGGGAACTTCGCTGTTGCCGAAAGCACTCGAGAGTTCTTTTGGAACTGATCTGCCCCCCAACTGCCGTGTGGCCGCCCCAAAACACCTCTAGGACCTATCTCCCCAACAAAAAACCATCCTCCCAATCGGGCAAGGCGCAAAGCCGCTTCGCGCATGTCCAACAGCCCCTCCATGACGTGGAGGAAGTCCCCGGCTTCGAACTCCGCGATGACCTGAGTCACTGCGGCGAGGTTGGGTCGGTCCAAGGGACCGTCGGCAGGTGCAGCCCCTCCACTGACAGGACGCATGTCGTTGGTTGATCATTGATTGGGGTGGAACTAACCAAATCCATTCAACGTGGACGGTTCGGTCTAACGGGCCTAACATCAGGACCCCCGACCCACTTGACTCTGGCGGTCATGTACGACCTGCTGGTTCGTCCTTCCACCTGTGACTCGACCGCTATGGTTTTGAACTGTGAAACGTGAAAGCAAGTCCCCCTAGAGGTCACGGCGAAGAAACCAAGTTGCACTCGAGTTTCCAACATGCCATTCCCTTGCAAGTCGTCAAGTTCAAACTTCACACACACACACACACACACGCATCAAGCCGGCGTGCAAACCACTGTGGTGCACAACCTGCTTTGAACAACTAAAGCAACACGAACTAACGGTTGCTCCAAAGGATTCCCAAACCACCTTCTCTTCACCGAGCCACTTCATCCACCCACTCTACGGCCTCATCCTCCACACCTGGCTCTGCTGGCACTGGCCTCTTGCGGAAAGGCAAAGGCACATCCCGCGGAGGTATTGCCGGTGAACGCATTCGCGGTAAGTCTTCCTCAGAGCAAGCGGTGGTCCACATGTTGTTACTGGACCCGATCGTGTCATGAAGAATGAAATGTTGTTATTGGTCTGCACTTACAAACAAGAGACAGCCTGATGGCCACGGGTGGCTGAAGCCACAAACCCTGCCTCTGAAGGCTGCTGATGCTGATGTTGATGTTGATGCTGGTGACTTTGATAGGGCTGCTAGTTCAAGCAAGCTCCGCTACCATGTTCTCTATGCAAGCAGGAGATCCCGAATTACAATCTTCATGACAACAGCACCTGGGCCACTCTTCACCACAAGTGCGCTGCCCACGTCACTTGTCCACAAGCTGGGGCAAGCAGGAACGCGCATGTGTTCAAAACAAACGATGCATTCAACTGAGCCCTCACCAAAACGGTTCAACAAAGGACCACTTAAGACACCGCGCCAACCCCACAAGCAGAACCGAAGATGAACGAACTACTTCACATGAGGTCGAGAGGATGCATTCGATTGCCACAAGACCAATATCTAACCTTCGTCTCGGCAGGACAGACGGACAACTACCCCTGTTTCTCATCCACTTTTTCTTCCCCTTCTCCTGCTTCTGCTTCTGCTTCTCCTTCTCCTCCTCTTCTCCTCCTCCTTCTCCTCCTCCTACTCCTCCTCCTGCTCCTCCTCCTCCTCCTGCTCCTGTTCCTGCTCCTGTTCCTGCTCCTTCTCCTTCTGCTTCTTCTCCTTCTTCTTCTCCTCCTCCTTCTCCTCCTCCTTCTCCTTCTCCTTCTCCTTCTCCTTCTCCTTCTCCTTCTCCT